AAATTAAAAACAAGCTGGCCTTTCTCTAGAAATAACCGCTGTTCTGGAGAGGGTTGGGCTTATCCGGGAGCCTTGACTCTGAAAGCCTCTCCACCACTTGGTAGAAGTGTTAGCAAACAGGCTTCTTTCAGTACAATAGAAAAAAACAAATGCATGTGCAGCCCAGCTTGGCGACTTTATGTAAAGAAAGTAGGAGGCTTTGATAAGGCTGCCTGATGTGTGCTGTGACATTTATAGATACCTAAGATTTTCCAAGAACCATAGAGAGCAGAGAGCATAAAAGATTTAGCCAGGGCTGACCAATACAGCTCTCCTGAGCCATCCTAACTGATTTGCTCAGGAAATGCCAACAGCTTCACTAATTAGATGAGGCTAAATCAAACAAGCCACTTCAGGCTCAACGGCAAGAAAGTGGCTCCCCCACTCCTCCAGCAATCTTGAACATGTCAATTCACCTCCTTCACCATCTGTGAGGACAAGAGAGTGGGCTCTGCCGCATGAGACCTGTAGCACCTGTGTCTCCTGAGGTCTGTCGAGAGGAAGTAGAACAGGTGAGGGCTCCAAAACATACTCATATCCCCTTGCTGTAACAAAAACAACCAGGTTCATTACACTGATCGAGAGTCATAGCACTTCTAACATTAAAAATCATATTGTCCAACCCCCACATTTTTAAACACAGATTTGAATGACTTACTCAAGGCACACAGGCTACTAGTGGAGCTAGAACTAGAATCCCAGTCTCCAACTCCCAACTCACTGCACCACTTTGCTGCCATTAAATATTGGGTAATTGAAAAGCATACTTAGTCTTATTTTAAAAATCTCTTTAAATGTCATTTAATTGTTTGAATTTTTAAGGAAAGTAAAAGCATTTTCTTTCTGCAATGCCCACTAAAATTTCTTAGTAAGGTGAAGAACAGCAAATATTGTTATATTAAAAAGAGGCAAAAAAAAAAAAAATGTAGATGCATTTACTTGCATATATATTAAATCTCTCTAGAAAGATAACCTAGAAACTGTTAAAACAGGTTGTCATCAGGGAGAAAAACCATGTGGCTGGGAGGCCAGAGGTGGAAAGCAACTTTTCATCATATATTCTACTGTGCCTTTAGGATGTTGAACTATATATAAAAAAGAAAATTTTAATATTTAAATAACCACATCAAGGGAAAAGTTTATGAGAAGTCACTCTAAAGAAGAACCTCATTGTTCTTTACAATCCCAATGGAGAAGCCAGATTGGACTATGTAAATAATTCCTCTTCTATGTTTTAAACGATGAGCTTTTGAATATTTATAAGGTAGGCTGGAGTTAAAGAGAAGGTCTGTAAATGCAATGGTTCTCAACCTACACTCCACTAAATAACTTATTTTCTCTTTTGAATGCATGCTTAAAAAGATTTTGGCTACCAAATAAATGGCATTATTACTGTTATAATAATATACTTGCTCATTTGTATTCATTAGTGACTAATATAATTTTCAGACAGAGCTTTTGATCAGCATAGAATAACTGGTTCATCACAACAAGATAGGATTCTAGGCAAAATCAGAGAAACTGGACAATGTTGTTAGCTTATATGGCTTTATTAGCTGAAAATATATAGTACTTAAGAATACTGAAAAGTGACTCACATCCCCCTTTACTATACGCAAAAATCCTAAGGGCCTGGGAAGCAGTAAACACCTAACATTTAAAGGGAATCTGGCTCTAGATCCAACTACCAATTGACAGAAAATATAGAGGATCACAAAAAATGAGGACATACTCAGTAAACCTCAGACTTAAAAATTCTATAGGATAAAAACATGATTTCTTTAATAAATAAGTTTTAGATAAAAAAGATTAAAACAAACTTAAAAGACTTTTAAAAGTCTTATCAACCAATTGCAATGTCTGGACCTTATTTGGATCTTGATTCAAATAAATTTCTAAAAATTAAAAATTTAATGACATTTATGAGACAACTGGCAATTTGAACATTGACTAGAAAATTGATGATATTAAGAGATTATAATATTAATTATTTTTATATGTGATCATGTTGTTAACTTTTTTAAAGTCCTTATTTTTTTAAGAGATGTACTGAAATATTTATGAATGAAATCAATAATATTAAGAATTCCTTCAAATTTATTGAGGAGAAGGTGGGAGAAACGAAAACAAGACTGGCATGAGTTGATAACTGCTGAAGCTGGTGACAGTATACAGGATGCATTACACTAGTCTGTCCATTTCGACATATGACTAAAGTTTTCCTAATTAAAGGTATAAAAAAAAGTGATGTGGCATCTTACAGCTAGTAAGACTTCAATACTAACTTACAAAATAACCTGATATAAAATTAAGTGAAAAAAAGCAGAAAACAAAATATATGCTATGATCAAAATAAAATATAAATGAACAGAAAAAAATGAAGGTCTGTCTGATATATATAAAGGAACAGAAAAAAATGAAGGTCTGTCTGGTATATACGTCTAGGTAACTTCTCCCTTAATTTAAAAAACATTTCTTATTTTTCTCATTATATTGTTTGGCTAATGTCTACTTTTAAAAATGTCATTATAAATGATTTCTAATATTTTTACAACTTTCAAACAACTAAAATAAAGCCTCCATCTTAAGGAGTTCATTCAACTTTTTTCCCAGACCATATTCTAGGTACTATAGAGTATTTCGGGCTATCTCCAAGCTAGGAAAGAAAGGTCATCTCTTTGGGGCCAAAAGGGAACATCTTTACTTAACAGCAAATGCCTTTTTGCCTAGAGGTTCAATATTATTACCAAAGAGGCTGAAAAACAATTAGTGCAGATGGTTTCAAACAATATTCCTTTAAGACTCCATCTAGTTTGTCATATGGTTTGGTTTATGTAGTCGAACTCATGAAAATCCAAAAGGAGCTTTCTTAGACCAATCACAGCAGAGAGAAGCCAAGGTGAGAATGCTTACTTTTATCTTTCCGGCTCCTGTGAAATCCAAGCTGAGAATCTTTGTTGAGTCCCATACCCCAAACCTTCGTAACATCTTTGGTTTTAGAAGACAGCAATGTGAACCCATAGCCACAAGCAGCTGATGAAATCTGAAAAAGAGTTCCTGTAAGGAATTAACCTGTATATGCGATATCAAGTTTTTTTCAGCAACTTATGACAGGTTATTTACTCAATCCAAAAGTACATACTATTAAGATAGAAACTAACATTTATTGAACATTTACTATGGGTTAAGTGTTTGATATGTATTATCTCATTTAATCTTTACAGGGATCCTATGAACTAGGTATTATCATCATCCCCACTCACCCGGACAGTCTAGCATAGTAGTTAAGCTGAATACTGCCTTAGTTTACATCTTTGCTCTACTCCTTACCAGATGTATGACCTAAGATAGATTACTTAACTTCTCTGTATCTGTTTCCCTCTCTGTAAAATGGAAATAATAAGTGTGTTTCTCATTGGGTTGTTCTGAGGACTAAATTAGTTAATAAAGCTAAAGTACTTACAGTAAATAGTACCTGACTTAATGTAAGAGCTTCATAATGTACTTGTTATTATTGTTACTACTACTAATAGTAGTATTTGGTAAATGAGAAAAATCAGGTTTCCTAGAGATTAAGTAACTTGCCTAATATAGTCACAGAGCTAATAAATGGAAACTATTTGATTACAGCATGCATATAATATCTCAAAAAGTCCAGTTTCGATGAAAAAGTACAAGACATGCAAAGAAGCAAGTAAGTGTGACCTATACCAAGGGGAAAAAAGCAGCCAAAAGAAACTAACAGTAAGTGGACCTAGATGTTGGATTTGTCAAAAACTTTAATGAACTGTTGTTCAAATAATTTTTAAAAAAAACTGTTTAAAGAATTAAAGGAAAACATGATGACAATGACTCAACAAATATGGAAGCTGAATAGAGAAATACAAATATTAAAACCTAACTGGAAATTCTAGAGTTGTACACTAATCAAAACAAAAAATTCACTATATAGGCTCAACAGCAAATTTGAGCTGGTGAAGAAAGAATCAGTTAACTTAAAGAAATATCAATAGAAATTATTCATTCTGAAGAACAGGGAAAAAATTTTTTTAAAAATGAACAGTTGCCTCAGAGACCTATAACATAACAGGAAGTGTATCAACATTTATGTAATGGGAGTCCCAGAAGGGCAAGAGAGAAAGAGGCAGGTAAAAAATATTTAAAGAAATAATGGCAAAGCCAAAAATATACAATGGCGAAAGGAAGTCTCTTCAATAAATTGTTGGAAATAGGAAAGCCAGATGCAAAAGAAATTACACCGCTATCTGAAACCATCACAAAAATTAACTCAAAATGGATTGAAGACTTGGATATAAGACCTAAAACAATAAAATACATAGAAGAAAACACAGGCATTATACTTACCAACCTTGGTCTCAGAGGGGTTTTTGTGAACTTGACCTCAAAGACATAGTAAGTAAAAGAAAAAAAAAAATGGGACTACATCAAACTAAAAAGTTTCTGTTCAGCAGAAGAAATCAACAATACAAAAAGACCACCAATCAAATGGGAGAAGATCATTGCAAACAATCCTCCGATAAGGATAAATATCCAAAATATATAGAGAATTCATACAACTTGACAACAAAAAAAAATCCAATAAAAAGTGGGCAGAGAACCTGAACTCTTTTGCAAAGAAGACGGCCAGCAGATACATGAAAAAATGTTCAACAGCATTAGTTATAAGGGAAATGTAAATCAAAATCACAATGAGACACCATGTCATACATGTTAAAATGGCTGCTGCCAACAAGACAAGAAATAACAAGTTGGAAAGGATGTGGAGAAAAGAGAATCCTCGCACATTGCTGGAGGGAATGCAAATTGGTGCAGCCAGTATGTTAAACAGCATGGCATTTCCTCAAAAAATTAATAACAGAGCTACCATGTGACATATGACCTAGCAATCTACCTGAAAATTTGAAAATACTTATTTGTAAAGATATATGTACCCCTATGTACACTGCATCATTATTCACAATAGCCAAGACATAAAAACAACCTAAGTGTCTTTAGATAGATAACTGTATATATGTGGTATATATATACAATGGAATATTACTCAGCCATTAAAAAATATGAAAGAGTGCTATTTCCAACAACATGAATAGATCTTGAGACTAGTATGCTAAGTGAGGTAAGTCAGATGAAAAAAGACAAGAACTGTGTAATATCATGCATATATGGGATATAAAACAAAAAGCAACAAATGAACGAACAAAACGAACATACAAACAAATGAAACAACAAACTCAGAGATACAGACAACAGAATGGTGGTTACAGAGAGGATGATGGGTAGAGGGAGAGCTATGAAGATAAAGGGGGTCAAATACACGATGACAGGAGACTAGACTTGGGGTGGTGGGCACACAATAGAGTATACATATGTTGTATTATAGAGTTATACACCTGAAATTTATATAATTGTTACTTTAATAACTTTAATAAAAAATTTTTAAAGAGTGAACATTAGCATTTGAAAACAAAGAAAAAGAATGTCAGAAAATTTACCAATGGATCAGTTGTAGGCAAAACAACGGATCAAGATTGATCAACAAATCAGTTAAACTCTTGAAAAACCGAGAAAATCTTAAAAACAACAAAAAAATGGATTCATCAGTATAAGGGAACAAGATCAAAAGCTAACTTCTCATCAGCAACAATGGAGACCAGAAATCAGAATATTTTCAAAGTGCTGAAAGACAAAAACTGCTAACCAAGAATTCCATATCCAGCAAAACTATCTTTAGAGAAATGAAAATAAAACATACAATCCCCCAAACTAAGAGAATTCACTGCTAGTGGACCTGCCATAATAAGCACTAAAGAAGTCCTTCGGTCAACAATACTGTATTAAATACTTCAAGATTACTAAGACGCTGGATCTTAAATGTTCTCACCACAAAAAAGAAACGATAATTCTGTGATATGGTAGATATGTAAGCTAATGCTATGGTGGCAATCATACTCTAATACAGAAATGTATATGTTCATACATTTATACAACCCATTGTACACGTTAAACTTACACAGTGTTATATGTCAATTACATCTCAGTTGTTTTTTTTTTAAATATTTCAGGCCAAAAGGAAATGACAGTAGATGGTAACTAATAATCACAAAAAGAAATGAACTGTACCAGTGAAAGTAATTATACAAGTAATTATAAGACATGTAAATATATTTTTTCTCTTCTCTTGAATGATTAGAAAGACAACTGCATAAAATAATAATTACAGAATTGTATTATGGGCTTAAAACACATAAAGATATAATATATATCACAACAACCACACAAAGGAGAGAGGAGGAAATGAAGCTATGTTAGAACAAAGTTGTTGTTTTTCAGAATTAGGTCACTATTAATATAAAGTAGATTGTATAAAGTAAGATACATATTGTAATCCCAAGAGCAATCACCAAAAAAAAAAAAATACTAAAATAATACATAGTGAAACATCCAACAAAAGGTCCACTAGAAAAATATCTATTTAAGATAAAAGACAGTAAAGCAAGAGCAGAGGAACAAAAATGACAGAAAGAAACAGCAAAATAACAGGTGCAATCCAACCATATCAATAATTATATTAAAAGAACATGGATTGAATAACATCAGTGAAAATGGTGGAACAACAACAACTCTGGCCAATACTGTCAGGGTCACCTTTTCAGAACTCTGGAAATTAACCAAAGGCTTAGAGCAATCTGGAGTGTTTACTCGAGAGGCAGTTGAATCTCAGCAAGAACAGCATGATTTGTGGTGTTTTAACTTCACCTCTCCTCAACTCTCAAGTAGCCCTGACAACCAACAGCTTACAATCATGCTGAAAATTGGCAATCTAGCAGCCACTGAAGGAGGCAGAGTGGAATTGGAACTTCAAAGCCTCATTCCCAGAGAATTCTCATTTGAACTATCCCATTTATCTTTTGTCTCTGTGAATTTGCCTATTGTAGATATTTCATATAAGTGAAATCATACGATATTTATACTTTTGTATCTAGCTTATTTCACTTAGTATGATGTCTTCAAGGTTCATCCATGTTGTGGCATGTGTCAGAACTTCATTCCTTTTTACAGCTGAATAATATTTCGTTGTACGTATATACCACATTTTGTTTATCCATTCACCCGTTGATGGACACCTGGAATGCTTCTACCTTTTGACTGTTATGAATAATGCTACAGTAAGCATTGCTGTACAAGTATCTGAAAACCTGTTGTCAGTTCTTTTGTATATTTACCTAGGAATGGGATTGCTGGATCATATAGTAATTCTTTCTGTGTGGTTCCCTGGAAGGCCCTACTTGTGAGGTAGTATTTATTTGACCTGATCCCTTAGTAAAGATGGGGAAATTTATTGTTTACATGACTTAAGAAAATCTGTCCAATTACTAGCTGTCTACTAAGCTAACTGAACAGAGACCTTAGTAGCTACACATGACAAAGAATATTAACTTTATCAAATTAGTTCAGAAAAGTCACTAAACAACAATAAACAGCAACAACAAACCCTAGGGAGGTGGGAATATTTTATTTCCAGAGTTGCCACATAGTATCATTTTTAATATCCAGTTTTCAACAAGAGAAAACACAAGAGATGAAAAGAAATGATAAATTATAGCCCATATACAGGAGAAAAAAATGCAGTCAACAAAAATAGCTCCTGCACAGAGTGGAGTGAGCATGGATGGTATAGGTCAGCATAACAAAGGAGCACAAGGAAACATTTCAGGTGATGAATATGTTCACCATTTTGATTGTGGTGATGGTTTCACAAATGTACACATATGTCAAAACCTATCAATTGTACCATTTATTGTATGCCAGGTATAATTCAATAAGTCTGTTAAAAATAACTCTTAACTAGTGTTAATATTTTGTCTCTGGCCTAGTACTAAGAACTTTTATACTTTTTGGTTTTTGCTTTTTATTTTTAAATAAAAAATGAGGGAGATTTAAAAAATTGCTCCTGCAGAAGCCTAGATATTAGACTTAGGACAAAGACTCTGAAATCAACTATTTTAAATACATTCAAAGAAC